ACGGACTAGGTAGTTCGGATTAGGCTTCCTATTCCAAACTACTGGTACACCTCATTCCACGAGGAGTAACAATAGTTCGGAATAGGAAGCCTAATCCGAACTACCTAGTCTGTGCCGCGTGTAGCAGTGGGCACGGAGTCCGAACTAGCGGACATTTAAAAATGGCGGCGCCCGGCAAGATGCAAATGAAGCCCGGGAAATTCAAATCCCGGGCTTCATTTGCAACTTCGGTTGTCTACATTAACCACCCTAGTTCAAACGAGGGTGGTAGAGTAGACATACCCTGGGTGTCTCAGCATCTGTGGAGTTTGGATTCATAGCAGTTTCATCTGTGCCTCAGTTTCCCCCACTTCCACATAGAGTTTTGGACATTGGCATGCTTAGCACTGGCTCTGTTATCTGGGTGAAGAATGTTTGTGAGCTAGGCCCTTTGGATTTAGTGGATTTACAACTGAGTTGTCTGGGCTCCACCCTGTAAGAACATTTCCAAACACATCAAAAAGGAATATCCTCCAGGATCACCATAGTCAGATTCCCATAGTCAGAACCTTCTTTGGTGTTTCTGATGACATGGCCACAGACAGAGTAATGGGGTTCACTATGGGAACCTTCACACAGGGCCTGACCTGTCAGTATCTGCTCTGGATACAACATATAGCACTGTGATGTGAGCACTGTAATGTCTCACCATTTGTTCCCACCTCCAATTTCTGTTGGGGATTTGGCTGTATTTGACTCTTAAAGATGCAGCAGGATCTATCTATACACAGATGGCTGTGGGTTGTGAATTCAGTTGCATTTATATTGTATATCCCCTCTGGGGCTGCACTACCCTGCTATGCTAGTGGGCCAGTGTCCCATCCCAGCTCCTCTTGGGCCAAGCTGCTATAGAATTAATACCTGCTGACTCAGGTCAATTTGTGTACGGCGCCTGGAAGTGATGATAATTCAGATCTTTGGGGTCCTTACCAGTGCATTGATTTGGGACTGCTGCTCCTCCCTCTGTCCAAGCTTGATTTTGTCTGGTCCCCAATTCTGGGGAAACCCACATGTTTCCCTTCCTGTGGCCCATGAGCCAGTCAACCTTGGTTTTTCCCTCAGACGCAGTGTAATTACCAATAAACTTATCAACCAGTCTATTTGCAGTACACTGGTCTTCTTGCTTCTGAGCTCTCACCCACAACTTCAGGTCATATGAATACAAAACATTAAATTGTTCAAATCCAATTTATTTAATTTCATACAATTGATCTATTTTATGAGATAATCTATCTGGCTTGTCACCTCCCTATAAGGTACACCTTGATGCTTTTGAATCCACCTGATTTTTTGTTTGTTTGTTTCTGTAAGTCTCAGGGGTCACTTCAAACTTAAGGATTTTGTCTTACATTTTGCATAGTTCACAATTTCTATTCTGTTTGGCTTTATGCATCTAGATTCTGTGCCCCACTGACGGAGGCTGAATCAGATCCTCTCTGATGGGAACCTGGTGCAAATAACAAGCTTTTCCAAAGCTGATTAGATTGGAAGAGAGACCTACCAATTTAGTACCTATGTCCCACACAGAATTGGCTTCTTGAGGTTTATCACCACCTACTGTTTAATTGTTCTGGTTCCTAGATTGGTCATTGTACTAGTGTGGTATGCATTGGAAAATCCTCTGTGTTGTACAAAACTACCCTCTGCTGGTCAGACAAGAAGCAGCATTGGGTTCTCTTACACAAACCATTGCCATATGACTTAAATCCATGATACTCAGCCCTCAGTGGCCCAGGAGCCAAATTAGCCAAAGGAGCCACAGTAGTGTGAATTAACTGTTTCATTTAATATTCAACAACTTTTTGTGAAAAAGGAAACATGATCATAGTAAATAGTTTATCAATTAGAGCAAATTAATAACTGGTTTATAACATAGTAAGAGCAGTCTGAATGGTTGATAATTAAATCACATATGTTTTAATATCAAGTGCTGCAGAGAGATGCAGGAGACATGTTAAAGAGCCATAAGCCTCAGTCTGAGTATCACTGACTTAGACTTAGACTTAGACTGACTTAGAAAAAGTGGAGCAATTACAAAGACAAAACTACTATATTGCTTCATTCAAATTCTCTTCTTTTTTTTAACAGGTATTAAAAATGTTCTTCAGACGAAGGGATAAACATTAAAGCATCTTACCAAAATCTGGCACTTTATGCTTATTGCTTATGTTCACAACCAGTCTCATCTCTGCAAAGCCAGCTAACATATCTTCAAGAGATCCCATTAAGTTTATTGTGGATGTGGCATGATACTTATGGTGTCAAAACTTCATATTTCTCATACTTTGATCACTTATATTTGCATGTTATTGCACATGCACCTCAAAAGTTATTAATACCCAGCATACAAAAAATGTTTACTAACCTGTTCTGTAATATTTGTGAAGCTGTCCCCAAAACTATCTCAGTTCTGTCTTGCAGAAATATTATGATGTAGGGGGTAGAAGAACAGGTTGTGGAATGCATATGGGAAACACATCTTAAATTACGGTTACAGAACAGATTAATAACCATTTTTTCTTTGCGTGATTGCACATGTGCATTCCAGCTTCGGTGACTCCTTAGCTTTGAAATCAGGAGATGGGATCAGAGTCCATCTAAACAAGATCTCAAGGACAACTTGCCCAAATCTGGCACCATTTCTAGCATTCTGATTAAAGGCATGATGGGAAGCAAATGTGTGCACTTAAGACTAAGGTGCTGCCCTACAAATCTCTAGTATAGGAACTTCAGCCAGAGAGCTGTCATTCTGCATGGTGGAGTAACATTAAACAAATTGCAGCACAAGTGAAGCTAGGATCCTATGCAGGATAATATTCTCTGCAAAGAAACTGGGCTATCTGTGACTGCTATGAACACCTGGGAAGATAAACCCAACTGCTTGGACCTGTCAGTGTATATCAGTGCTCTCCTGACATCTAATATGTGCAGCCTTTCCCCATCTTTATTTGAGTGTGGCTTGGGAAAGAATGAAGGCAGATATTTTGCTTGGTTGATATGGAAGTTAGATACCACTTTTGAGACAAATTTTAGGTACGAACAAGGTAAATAGTGTCTTTAAATAAAACAGTATAAAGGGAGTCAGACATCTGTGCTGGTAAATCACTCACCCTCCTTGTAGAAGAAACAAAAATCCTTGTAGAAGTGATAGCTACCAAAAATTCTACCTTAATTGAAAGATACAGTAGATGCAGGTTGCTGAAGGAAGCCTTATAAGCGTTGACAATATCAAGTTTAGGGGGAACAGGATCTTCTACATAAGAATACCACTTTTTCAAGCCTTTCAAAAATCTTTTTGACATCTTATTAGAAAATACAGCTATTATCGTTCTGGAAGCCATATTAACCAGTGAGTGAATGGGAGAGTACTTTGATTTTGCATGCACTCTTTTAGACCCTTTGTGTTCTTGCTTGGCAGATTTAGGGACCAATGATTTGCCTATGTCAAATGTGTCATTGCAAACCTTGTTTCTACCTCTTCATTTGCTGAGGGGGAACAATGGTGTTGAGACTTAGACAACATCACATACATTGCTGAGCACCCTTCCTGACTGAGAAAGACAGGAAGGTAATCTAAGAGCAGGCTCCATAAAAAAGAAATTTAGCCTGGCCATTCTGGGTATGTCTACACTGCAACTGGACATCTGTGGCTGGCACATACCAGATGATTTGGGATTGCAGGGCCATAGTCAAAGAGCTGTTTAACTGTACTGTAGATGTTGAACTGAGCTCTGGGAACCTCCCATCTCACATGGTCCTAGAACCTGGGCTCCAGATGGATCCTGAATGTCTACACTGCAAGTAAACAGTAAGGATGTTAAAATGCATTTAATTTTGTAAATGTGTAATTGCTATAAATTTTAGCAGTTACGCTTTTACACGTGGGGGAGCACCGGCTTTTACCTGACCCCGTCTTCCCTGCGCTGCTGCCTCTCTGGGGAGGGGGGGGGGCAGCAGTGTGGTAGAGGCGGGGTAGGTGGCTCAGGGGGAGCTGGCTTAAAAGCTGGCTCCCGCATATACTGGCTCCCACCTGCCCCTCTCCTGCTGCCTCTCTATCAGAGGGGAGGGGATAGGCAGCTCCACAGGGTATATGCGGGGAGTCAGCTTAAAAGCCAGCTCCTTACACACACTGACTGCTGCCTGCCTCCCCCATCCTGCTGCCTCTGTAGAGGGGGGGAGGGAAGATGGCTCCGTGGGAGCTAGCTCTTTGTGTGTACCGCCTGCCCCCACATCCGTGCTGCTGTCTCTTTATCAGAGGTTGTGCCCACAAAAGCTCATGATACTATTTATCTATTTTTGTTAGTCTCTAAGATGCTAAAGGACCACTCTTTTTTGTTTGTTTGTTTGTTTGTTACAGACTAACATGGCTACCCCTCTATGACTTTTATACACAATTACCTGCAGAGAGAACCTCCTGAAGCAAGACAAACTGATTTTTAACAACCATCAGGAAGAAGGAACTGAGAGGGACTTGAGGCAACCTTTCTTTACACACAGTGGCATACAGCAACAGAAAGGATGCTTGAAGTGACCCAACAGGTACCACAGAGGGAAAGTTTCTGACAACTGTGCTCCTGGCGGGTACACAACAAGAGTGAAAAGTACTTCTGCAAACACTCAAAAAATAAAAACTGCAACACAAATGAACTGCAACACAAACTGCTTCAGGGACATCCATTGCAAGAAATATTCATAAACATCAAACCCTCTCTAATACTGAGGGACAAATTCTGACATTCTATTCATTTTTTCCCTTTAGTACTGAACATACTTCAATTAAAGTGACCTAGAATTTTGTAACTCTTCAATCTTTACTAAGGCAAAAATGGATAAGAAAATCCTCTGCCAAATGTGCAGCTCCTTTAAAAATGATTCAAAAATATTTTATGATATATCTTGTTTGGAATATACTCTATCAAATACACTTCATTATAAAATAATCCAAAGTTAGCTATTTAAATATAAATTATTTATAACAGTTGGTTTTTAAAGGTCTGCAACTCAACACGAAGTGTCAGTTTTTATATTTTGGAAACATTTAAGAGCTATAACTTTAGACGCATGGTAAAATGAATTCTTAAACTACATTTGAATTATATACACATTTGTTCAGTCCATAGGAACACACAATTTACTCTACTACAGGTTCTTTTAGTTTTCTCAACTAATTACTTAATATAAAAATAAGCTTCTTCTCAAGTCATGATAGAAAATCATGAATTGCTATTCCCTGTGAACTCCACTATAGACATGTTTTCTTTGCTAACAGGAATTTACATTTTGATTTGTGTGTTTCCCTTAAAAATGTCACACAGATAAAGTACAAAATTTTAATTGTGCAGTGGCAGGTGCAATTTATTTTGTTTAATCTCTGCTCTTGAACACATCATGGTGAAGCTATTGACTCAGGTAAATCAGGTAAAAGAAGACATAAAATACCATCTAGACTAGGGTATGCATGGAGAGATGTAATTACATGTATCATATTATTTTTTTAATACAAAATAGTGTGGTTAATCAGGTTAATGATGGCCTTCCAAAATTAACTTAAGAATGTTTTTAATGAGCTTCCTAGTGAACGTGCATAAAATGTTTCAATGTTAGAAATCTTTTAAAGAACTCTGTGAGGCTGTGGTGAATTTAGAGTTAGTGGGGCCCTGTGTTCAGCTTCATTTTGGGGGGCCCCCCTGGAAACCAGCCAAGAAAAAGAACATTCACTCTTTCTGCCTCTCCCATTTTCATTTTTTTCTCCATCCTTCTTCTATTATAGAAATAATAAGAAATAAATGAAAATCATGGGAGATACCTTAATTGTTTTTGTAGTCTAAATTTTTTTCCACAGACCACTTGAAAATTGCTGAGGGTCTTGGTGGACCACTTAATGTACTATTAGCTAACTATTGTAAAATGCTTTGGGTAAGAACGCTTTATAAAAATAGCATAATAACCATTCCTCAGTCCACCTGAATGGCGTTCTTGGAGCACAGTTTGAGAACTTCTGGTCTAGATGAAAGCTTGTATTTGCATTAAGCCAACATGAAAAATGTGTAAAAATAAAATGTATAGATGACGCATGAAAGGAAAAACAAAAGTTAACTTCCTCTGAAGAAACGTATTTAATTTGGGGGGAAAAAATCAGCTAGCTTCCTTTCTATATTTTTTCTCTACAAAATTGTCAATTAAGTCATCGTAAGTGTAAACAGGGTTTGAATCAATGCTTCCATTACAGCCATCTGGAATGAGAGAGAAATCCTGGGTGTGTTTATGTAAATTTGCTTAGGCCTGCTAGATAGTCAACTGTTAGATTGGTGTTTTGCCCATTGTAACCAATTTGGCTGTTATGGGGTCACAAACTGTTAACGCTAAATGGAAGAATTGTGAGATATGATCACCAGTGCTTGCAGTTATCGTGGGACTGCAGAAAAGTCAGACTTTATTTAACTCAGTTCAGAGGAGAGAAACTATCAGTGTAAAGAATCTCGGATGAACAAGGTTTTCTCTGCCAAAACTCTGTGAAGTTAACTGGGGGAAGGGCAGGACTCTGAAACTGCAGACTGCGTGCTCTCTAGGCATGACCTGTAAGACTGGTTACATCTGTTTCTTTCCTCCCTCCTTCTAATGACAAAACTACAGCAGACTCCATAAGGAGTCTTTTAATTATTTTTAAATTTACTCCAGTGGACGCTGGAATTTCTTGTGGCTGGTCTGTGCTTTGGGCCAAGAGCTGACTTCATTGAGAGCTGAAATCACTAGGTTTGGCTCAGTCAAATCCACCAGAAGGCAGCAGAGTGGCTGCAGCACGATGAGCAGCCAGCAGGGCGACAATGGAGAGGCGTAATGAGCAGTTAGCAGAGCAGTGGCAACATAAGCAGTGAGGTGAGATGAATGGCTAGCAAGGCAGCAGCAAAGAGCAATGAGCAGGTGGATGGTGAGCAACCAGCAGTGTGAGTAAGACGTTTCCTTATCTCCCCCGCACTTAGGCTGGGAGGTGAACTCTGCGGTTACACCTCCGAACTCTGGGTCTGCCTTGACCCATGGAAGTAACCGTGAGTGAGGTGCAGAGAAGGGTTGGGCATGTGAAGGGGATATTTACGTTGCAGGACTTAAGAACTTGAGAGGAAAAGAACATTGCTCAACCTACATGAGGTGGGACTTACTTATGATTTTGGTTATGAACTCTGTTTATGGTGTTTTCCCACATTAATGCCACATTACTTCCCTGTCCTTTTATTAAAGGTTTCTTTTCTACACTCAGACTCTGTGCTTGCAAGTGGGGAAGCATTGCCTCCCGGAGGCGCCCAGGGGTGCTGTGTGAATTTCCCAGGTTACTGGGTAGGGGCTCAATCCAGTTTTGTGTTAGATAGATGGTGAGGAACCCTTAGATATTGAATCCAGGCCTGACTGCTGCTGGTGCTACCTGGCAGAAGGATTACATAAGTAATAGTTTGTGAAGAGGCACTTTCAATTATCAATACTGCTGAACTTGTCAAATGTTCCTCCCTACTTTCTTAGCCCGCCCCAGTCTTCTCTGCAGAGGGACTGCTCTACCCCCTCCCCAGAGTGGCTGCCCCCTGCTGAAGTCCCTGGCCCTGGAGGCCCCATATTGGGAGAGGGGCGGGTGGCGTGCCAAGGCACGGTATGTTTAATTGTAAATCTGCCTCTGCCATGAAGCTGTTAGACATATACTGTACCATTCCTTCTCCATTCTTCTATAGCAACATTAATTTATTTTAAAAGCATCAAGGTCTTTTGTTTTGAATGTGTGAAATTTTTTTCCATTAAGTTCCTCTAATAGTCTAATATACTCTCTCCCCTTGTGTTTTTTGTTTTAGCAGATGTTGTATATATGACATTACCTGGATTTTATATCTTATATGTATTCTGTTGCCAAAATTGAGTACATAAAATTAAGAGAAGTCATTGGCCTGGATTACCCTCTTGAAGGAAAATTACAATAGCCAGTGCAGTTGCAGGGAAGGAAAGTTCCCTGTAGGTATAACTGCTCTGGGACTATTGGAGAGAAGATCTGTAGAAAAGATAATTCAGATTCATATTTTCTTTTTGAAGAATCTCTGTAGTACAGGAAGAGAGATGTGATTATGTTCTTTGCACATACATCGGCCTTCTTTTCATGACTCAGGAATTCCTCTTTACTCATGTTAGGTCTCTTTGGCTGTGTCCGCTGCAAAGACAACCCCTTGGTACTGAATCTCAGAGCCTAAGTCAACTGATTTGGGCTTATGAGCAGTGTGCCCTCTAACCTGTATCGCAGCACAGCTTCACAGGTGATTAATCAACCCTCTGCTCAGGGCTGACTGACTAGGCAGGTCTGATGAATCACCTATGAAGCTGTGCAGCCACTCAGCTTACAGGTTGCTTATGAGGCTAGAAATAGCACTGTAGGAGTTAGGGCTCTGGCTGAAGTCTAGGATCGGAGACCCTTCCTTTGCTGGGTTTCTTCTGCACAGAAGGGTTATAGTTTGGTATAAGGTTCTCTCTATTCATGGAGAGGGGACTGACCTTTGCCATATGAAAAAAAATCCCCTGTGATCTAGTTTCAGCTGGCATTGCTAAATGCACCTTTACAATGCAGTAACAATACTTTTTTGTATATCAAAGCAGATCACTTTCATATACAATTGAGAACATCTGTTAATGTGCAGATTACCTATATAAAAGGAAAGTGCAGATGTATTGCAGACGTGAGAACATTCTGAATGTTACTCTGTTTTGAACAACTCAGCTAAAGAAGACAGAGGTGCTGTTTTGTGATTTCCCTGAAGGTGATGGACCCCTATTCTGCCCCAAACTCCTGCCCTGTTCCCTCCCCATCTCTTCCTTTCCCTCCTCCTGTCCCACTGCATGCTGCTGCCCAGCTGACCATGCAGGTGGGAGGCTCTGGGAAGGAAGGATGCTGAGCACCACTTTTTTTTTTTCCTGTGGATGCTCCAGCCCTGGAACACCCAGGGAATCAGCACTTATGATAGGGCATATTAGCTGTGCATGACTGTTATCTGCTCGCCCACAAAATCCATTTGAATTAGTAATAGCAGACTAAAGGAATGCTGAAAGGATGCTGGCTGCAGGGTGATTTGTGTCAGTCCCCGTAATACACGAGATTCGAAGGGATGCCGGAAAGGATGAGACCACAACTGGGGGTTTCAAAAAGCACAAACTGATTTTATTTTGATGATGCCAGACAATCATCAGAACAAAAATTAAACAGATTGCCAGACAACACAAAACAATTCCCTGAGGCTTTTCTAAATCACAATAATTCCCAATAACTGCCCAGGGGTTAGGAACAGTTGAATTAACACTGGTATTGTCCATAGGGCTGATTATTTACACAACTTTATACAAGGAAACAGTAAAAAACCTAAACCACAACTATTTATAAACTAACTTAGTAACTTTTTAGCCACTGTCACTTGGTAAGCAATAAGGACAACTAAAAAATCAATTAGGATAGGGATGATGGTGAGGGGGGGGTGTTATACCAGTTCTGGAGACAGCAGGAACACAAGTACCGGTCACAC